CTTCTATTAGCCGTATCTTCCTGAGTCCGTTAAATGACACCCGCCCCCCGCCACCGGGGCTTCTTTCCATTCTCCCTCTTACAAGAGCCACTGTTGCTATTTCACATACTTGGCACCCTGAGGAGTCTGTCCACTAGTCCTTCTTCATGCCAGGGCTTCTAGCAGTAGCTTCTTTATCCACTTGTGTTGGTTTCTATTGGGTTTCTGTGGGCATGTGTTAACCAGGAGCCCCCGTCTCCTCTCTGCTTTGGGTAAACAGCCTGGAAAAAGGGGAGCCTTGCTGGACTGGGACCAGACAGTGTCTCTGCTTCAGATTTTCTAGGGACTTTTTTCCTTTTAGATCCTTGTTGACCTCTAAAGTGTGTACAGGGATCAAATATTAGTGTCTTTGAGGATTAACAGCAAATATTAGTGTCCTTTGAGGATTAGTGTCTTTGAGGATGTCCTTCAGTTGTTTACATCGAGTGGGGCCTGGGGGTACTCTGGACAGATGAAGAATTATGCTTTTATCTCCCCTTTTTACCTTGAGATGAGAGGGGCACAACAGACCACAAATATGTTCTGAAACTATAACATCTGAATTTCTTTTTGGAAAGATTTGTGGAGTCCCCGGAAACATTTGGACAAACCACGCTCTGTAAGGGGTAAACCCAGAGTGCCTTGTGCCAGGCCGCTCTCAGGCAGCTTGTGAGCCCTGGCCCTTTTCAATTGTGTTGTGTCCCCTGGAGCAGGTGCGCCCAGGGCTGCCTGGCCGGCCCCCTCGGTGGTCGGGAGCCCTTCCGTGGGCACCGGCACTCCATCAGCATTCTCCTTGTGTTGAATCATTCCTCACAAAAACGGCGGTGGAGGGGTGACCCGTGATTACGATCAGCTTGAATAAGACCTGTTACTTCTAGAAAATGAGATTTGGCCTGAATCATGCAGTACGTTAATTTGTATTTTGTAGCTCAGTGATTCTCAACTCTGGCTGGACATTAGAATTAGGACTTCAGAAAATACCAAATAATGCCAAATGACTTGTCCCAGAATAGTTACATCACGACAGCTAAGGCGAGGCCCTGTGTCAACATTTTGATGACATACTGTCCAGCAAAGACTCTGGTAATACAGTCTAGTAAGTCTACAGATTGTAATCCCGTGTACTTGGATATCACCCCTTTGTACATTCACACATGATCTCTCAGGTTATATTTACAGCCTCCTTGCAAGGTCTCCATCATGAAGGGCTGGATGGGTAGGGTGAGATTGAGAATGTATTGTGATCGAGCTGGTTGCAAAGTCTGAGCTCCCTTGCTGGTTGCAAAGTCTGAGCTCCCTTGCTGGTTGCAAAGTCTGAGCTCCCTTGCTGGTTGCAAAGTCTGAGCTCTCTTTAATGCCATTAAACCGCGATGGTTTTGTTAGTGGTAGATTTGGTGTATAGCCCCATATGGTTTAACCCACATAGAGCGCCATGTGTAACCACCATTAGGATAGTTCAAAGGGCTGGAGTGTTGCTTCAGATCAGTAGCCACCTGTCTCCTTCACCCACCAGAGCAGCGTGGACAGGCTTGACTTATCTAAGAGGGTTAGGTCCATGCCAGGCCGAGCTAGTAATTTCTTGGCATTTTAGAGACAGGCCCTCCTGAAATTCAGATAGACTGATGATAGGAGTGGAAACATTGGGTGCGTATGCTCTTCCTTCTTTTCTGGCTTGACAAGATACTGTAATCCTTGATCCCAAAAGAAAGGACTTCAGATATGAAAAGGAAGCTAGAGGCAGAGTTCCAAAGGCTTGGGTACTTTCTGGAAAGAAATGAAATGATGTGCCTCCCTGGGCATCCAAAAATATGAGGTACAGCCTCACAGGGTGCGGGGACCTAGGAGTGGAGACTGGGGTCAGAAGGGGACATTCACAGGGCAGTGGAGCTGGGCGGCAGGTGAGCACTTGTCGTCTGTCCTGGCTCCAGACCCTTCATCAGCCCTCCTCCACATCTTCTTCCCAGGTTTACATCCTGACCTCCACGCTCAAAGGCCTAGAGGGCTTGGGTGTGATCTCCCTTCCTCAAAGCTTGACAGCCTCAGTAGAATCCTCCATAAAACTGAACAGCAGGAAGCTTCTTTGATGTTCCGGGAACCTCTTATGATAACAGCGCTCATCCTTTGATCTCCACAGCCCAAAAGTGAGGTCCGAAAATTCTGACAGCTTTGTTTACTTTGCACTAGGAAAGCATAAGACCCTAAAGTGAAAAGCTCTTCCTAAATACTGTCTAATAATACGTTATACCCTAGGAAAATAAAAACTTGCCATTTCCAGTGGAAGAAATTCACGTAGCTTTTCTTTTTTTCCTTTTCTGTACCTCTGTTATGAGCAAAAGGCATTTAGAGCCTCTGTCCTAAGAAGATGCAGGAACAGAACTGTGGACAGGAGGTCAGGGAGCTGCAGGTAGAGAGAAACACGAGGTCCATGGTGCAAGCGCCGGCGCTGGTCAGCCCTCTCCCTCTCTGTGTAGAAAGAAGTGAAGGCTTCTATAAGGGAGAGTGGCAGAGAGGACATTTGAGCTGAGCCTGAGTGAAAGGGGGTAGGGAAGAGCTTTTTCTGGCAGAGGAAAGAACTACTTCAAAAGGTCCCAGGCTGACAAGAGGCTGGCGTGTCCGGAGCAGAGAGAAGGCTGTCACGGCTGGTGGTGGGTGTAGTAAGAGGCCGGGCTTGGGTCCTGTGGGGTTAGAGACCGTACAAGGAGTTGACTGTTTTTCCTTAGAGAAACAGATTTTAAGCAGAGGGCTAACATGGTCTGATTGATAAGGTTAAAAGATCCCTATGATGGCTGCATGGATAAGAAAAAAAATCAGCGATCCGCGAAGAGACACAACGGCCCTCCTGGTGGCCCAGACAGGCTGGTAAAGCATGATCAGATTTGAGCAAAACTGTGAAGGCTGAGCCCATAGCACTTGTGACTAGGTTGTATGGAGCGGGTAAGGGAAAGAGATGAATCAAGGATGACCCTTGGGCTTTGGAGCCTGAGGGGGAAGGGATGTATCCTGTAACCTGACAAGGCCAACGGGGGAGGCAGAACTTCGAGGGGTGGAATCCGAGCAAAGAAAGGGTTCTGTTTGGCCCGGCAAAGTGTGAGTTGCCCATCGACAACCAAGATGAGGCGCTAAGCAGTCAGTATGTACCCATGTTGGGAGTTTGAGGTAGCAGTCAGGCATTTGTCAGTCCTTTCTGGAGTTTTTAGGGACTTTGGTTCTTATGGAAACTTTGAGTATTTTAGAAACATTTAGTTGTTTGAGCACTCTTTGATGCTTGAGATTGAGCCCTGGAGAACATGCCGGAGCATGCTGGGATCTCTCCCATCGCTCCTGGGAAGACACATTCATATGACAAGCACACAGGAACCCTCTGCAGCTGTCTCCACCGTATGATAGACGAACAATTCTGAGTATTTCTCTAGACTCAGGCAATTGTTTTTCTGAATTCTTTAATGCATCGCCTCTGTATTAAGTCAGACGTAGATATCATTTCCTGTTTATGCATGTCCCCAGGGGAGGCCAGCGCAGTCATTAAGATGTAACAAATTGTCCACATTTCGAAGGTTCCCAAAAATAACGCAATCGCAGGCATGCCCGGTGCTTGTGCTTAAGAGTCTTGTACATGGATATTGGAACCTGTTGTCCCTTTACGGTGTCCAACTGGCCAGTGAGAGTACAGTCCTTGTTGACATCAAGTGAGTGATACATCAGAGGGCTGCAAAAGGGACAGATGATGCCTCAGTATTAAAAAAAAAAAAAAAAAAAACAAACCTTTAAGCCAAACCCACTTATTTATTTTTGGATAAGTTTTCCCACTTGAACTGCCCTGGCTTAAGTTCTGCTTCCCCTTTTTATTCCAGTTTCTTAAGTCACTTTTGCTCTTTCCTGAAAAATCATCTTACATCTGCTCCAACAAGGACATTTACCTTATCCCCTCAGTTACTGTTCTAAGAGTCCTTGTGTTTCCTATATTTTCCATAGTTTGTCCTGTTAGGAAGTCTGGTAATCTTCACTTCTTGTGGAGATGATCTTCCCTGGGCTGACAAGTGTTACCCGCTTGAAGAAGAGTCTCTGATTATAATGACCCTGTCATTGGCTCCCCCACATGATCAAACGTGTTGCCAGATGGTCACACTGGCGGTGCCCGGGTTGCCAGAGATGTAAACACTCTAGCAGGCTTTTTGGATAGGCAGGTGCCCAAGCACCCTCTGGAAAAAACAGCCTTCTCTCCTCTCTGCAGTTTAACAGCAGTGTGACCATGAGCAAATTACTGGATTTCTCCAGGCCTCTATTCCCGCCTCCATACGTGAGGATAATTATAACCCACCTCTGATATTTGAATACAGTGAATGAATACCTTAGCAGAGTCCCGGCTACCTAAAAGGAACTCAGCCTTTAGTTCTTTCCCTAACCCCTCTGTGCCCTTGTTCATCAGGAAACAGTAACCATGCACTCTGAAAACACACTGGCCAGCAAGTGGCTGTTACAGTGAAGTCCAGTCGAGTTTTGGAAGCAAGCTAGGCTGGAAAGGTGAAAGAAACTGACCATCAAGACAAAGTGGAGAAACAGAGCAGTGGTTCTCAAAATGTGGTCCTAGGACTGGCAGCCTTGGCGTCACTTGGGAGCTTGTTAGAAGTGCAAATGTTCAGAGTTACCAAATCAGAGTCCCTGGGAGCAGGGCAAGGTAACCTGTGTTTTAGCAAGCCCTACATATAATTCTAATGCCACTGGTATAACATAAATTCAGCAGACATTGGGTGAGGAATAACAGCACGTATTTCTGCATGTATATGTCTGTGTGCCTACACACACATTGTATATACAATGTTTGTAAATGCATCATAGTACAGCAAAATCCTACCCACTTTTCTTTGGTACAGTTGTCTGAATAGTAATATATCTAGAATGCTTATCTGCAATGACTTTGTACTGAGTTCATTTTGGGTTTAAAACTATGGATGTATCAACTTCTTCTTTTCCTTCTTCCCTAGGAAATTCCACTTACTTGGATGACCATGGACCACCTCCTAGCAAGGTAGGGTCTCTGTTTGTGGTGTAAACCTCTTTTTCTTTTTCTCAGTACCTATAGCCGCCTACAACCCCGACCAGATTCCCTTGGCCCTGAATTGCTCACAAGAAAATAGTAGGTGACAGATGTCAGGTTAGTCTTCAACTTAGAGTATGGAGAGAAAGAAGCATTTGGAGGCAGCCAAAATGGGGAGAGAGGAGAGCTGCTATTTCATCAGCAGCTGTAGCTGTCCCAGCACTGGAGCCTTTGGCTGACCCCCAGTTCACTGCCCCCTTTGCCTCAGCATCCGTGCTGGCCTATGATGTGGTGCCCACAGCGTGGCCTCTCTGGGCCTTGCAGCCTTGGCCACACTCTCCTCTGCCCTCTTCTCCCGACCTGCCTTCATTGGGACACCCCACCCAAGGCTCAACCCTCAGACCCAGATTTCTCTGCCAGTGCCCTCTCCAGGCTGCATTTTTAAGGGTCAGAACCATTCAGTGAAATAGTAATAGAGTTCCGCACCATTGTCCAGTTTCTCGAAATCGATGAAAACCAAATATTGATCTACAAAAAAAAAAAAAAAAAAAATGAGAAAAACAATTGACCACTGAAGGTGATGCTTGCAAGGTACAGCTTTAAGTGCATTGTGAGAAGAAAAATCAACCACTAACCTTAAAGGCTGGGAATTTACCCTAATGTTGGCTTTTGAGTTTGGGATTTGAAGACCCCATTTAAGACCATGAGCTTCTGAATCAGGTGTTTCTGGGTCCACCAGTGCCTCTGCCACTTTCAGTGTATGACATTGGACAAATTACTTAATGGTTTGAGCTTCAGAGTTTTAATGTGCAAAGCAGGATTAAAAATACTGCCCACAGTGCAAGACACCTACAAGGATTGAACACGCTGATATATGACAAGCACTCAGCATCTGGTGCACTATGAGCATTAAATAAGTGGTGGTGAATGTTAAATAGACTGGAGTAACATTAAGACCATTGATGAATGGTACAGTAGCACTTAGCACATCCATGAATGTCTCTACCATGTGGTCCACTGCATATCGAGTGCCTACAATGATACAGGCACTAGGAATACAAATACGAGGCAAAACAAAATAACAACAACATAATAGTCCCTACCCTGGAGGAAAAAGGAATATAGAGGATTTGACACCATCTGAATTTAAGAACCATGCCTAACTCATCTCAGTATCCTCTTGTCCTTACATAGTACATTGTGGCTATTCATTTGACTTCCCTGAGTTGGACCATGCCATTGGAGCAGGAATCTAAATCAGGTATCCTGGCTCCTATTCTAGGTCTTTCCACTAGGCCAGTATTCTCAGACTTAAGCTTGCACCTGGGTTTCCTGGAGGCTTGTTAAAATACAGATTGTTGGGCCCAGCTCCTGAGAGTGTGTGATTTGGAAGGTCTGAGACAGGACGTGAGAGTTTGCATTTCTAACAAGCTCCCAAGAGATGCTGGTGCTGCTGGTCTGTGGACCATGCTTGAGAACAACAGCTCTGAAGGCCACGAATATGGACACACTATTTCCCTGGACATTTTTTGTGTTGGGTTTTTTGTTTGTTTGTTTTTTACTGCTAATTGCCTACAAAGAGTGGCATGGTTTATCCTATAAAGGCTATTTTTGAATATCATTATGAGTCCCACTGTAAATTTTCTTAGAGTGAAAACATATTTTCTTTGGTCAATAACCTGCCTAGGAGGGAGAGTAAGTCAGGGTGGGGAAGAAGAAAGGTGCAGGTGGCCTGCTTGTTTCCTTTATCACTAACTGTACTTCTTTCCCAAGTAGAGCCAAGTGCTCTCCAGGGAAGAGGATTTAGGTGGCTCTGTCTGTGGGACCCATCAGCTGTTTCTCTCAATGGCATGTCGGGACATTGCTTTGGGTTCCAGGTTTGATAAATGGGGTTTTACCTGTTCGGAAGACCCAGGCCCACTTCATATAAACTCATGTTCTTATACTCAGTCTTCGGGTGGCCATCTTGTCTGGCCCTTTGCTAGTCTCCTCAGTGACTGGATTCTGTGTTTGCTGGGCTCTCTCCGGTGCCACTGACGCTCTTCCTCTCTCAGTACATCTCCCCTACACCTCCTGCAGCCTGGTCTGCACCCCTCCCTCTTCTTCCACCCACAACTAATGCTCCCCTTGAGACCCAAAACCCATCAGGTCATATTAAATCATTTTAGACCAATTTCAGAGCAAAAGAGTTTATAAACTTTTCCAAGTTTGAAAATTGTGAATATAATCTCTTTAAACATGTGGAAGTTTATATAATGCAGACTCTTTCCCTATAACTGCATTTTCGTCATCTACAAGTGGAGTAGCAAAAACCCTCTTGACTTTCTAAGCAGTAGCCAAAATAAGAAGAAGAATATAAAAAATGGGTAAAAATAATATTGGTGTGTGAACATCTTTTCATCCATGCTTATTACTTCTGACAGGGTGGAAATGAATCCCAGCAGTGGTGAGGTCAGACTTCCAGATAAAGGTCCCTTGGGTGTCCCCTGAGGTGGGGCTTTGGTTATTTAGGTCTATAGACTCTTGGCATAGCCACCGCTGGCCATGGTGGCACCCAGAGGATAAGGACTGACACATGTGCGCCTCCGGAGTGAACCCCCCCACCTCGCAGGGGACTGCAGGACTGAGTCCATATCCACACTTTTCATCTTTGTTTAGCATTCAGAAATCACTTTTTGATGCCAAGACTGAAAGAGCTGCAAGCTAGATAAAAATAAGATTGTTAAGCCCTGAAAATGTACTGAGGTTTATAGGCGAGTTCTCATTTTATTAAAAGCACAGTTCTACACATTTCACATTCCACAAGTAATAGCCATTTGGGGAGTGGGGTATGTGCAGTACTGTACAGACAGAGCCCAGGTCTTCCTTGTCTCCACTGTTTTCATGAAAAAGAACCAAACGTTTCTGATTTTTACTTGTTTTTAAAATCTACTTTAACCACATGGCTCACCTCAGTTTTTGAGCTAAATCATTTAAAAACAGATGTTAATGTTTTCTTTGGTCGACCACTTTTTTGCTAGCATTTTGTGTGTGCGCAAAATGGTCTTTAAGATTAGAGCCCTACTAGGCATGAACATGTAGATCTATCTTGAATTAAATAGAAAAATACAAGTATAAAACAGGCATGAGACAGCATAGTGTGATCACACTTCTTATAAAATTGTGGGGGTATGTGTAGAAAAAAGCCTGGAAGGATTATTGTATTTTCTCTAGATGATGAGATTTCAGATTTTCACCATTTATTATGCTTTTCTGTATAATTTGAATTTACTAAAGTAATGTCCACTCAACCTGAAGGCCAGGAAAAAGAATTCCTAGTGCAAGATTGAACTTAGGCTGCAAACCTGCAGTACCCTGGCTCCTGAAGCACCATCTGCAGTTCTGTGGAGCCTCCTAGAGTGGCCTCCGCTCTGGAGGTTGACCCCCTCCCCACCTGGGTTCACTTCCCTGGAACGTGAGCAGCGAGCATTCGCAATGATCAGTCCTGCTGGTAACCAAGACAGTTACCATTTCACATGTGTTGGGTTTCCATATCTGAGAGATAAGAAGAATTGGTCTAAGCAACTCAAGGAAAATAAAATCATGCTCCATAGCTGATGTCTGTTGTTTCCTTTGTGCCAAGCACTCTGCCAAGTGCTTTGCATACATGTTTAGCTTTTATAAAACTATAAGAAAGGAAGTAATTTTTTAATCCTTATTTTAAAGATGAGGGAACTGGATGCTACAGAGACTGCATAACTTGCCAAAGGCCATGCATTAAGTCTTGGCCTTGGGAATCCAGCCCAGGGCTCTGTAGCTTCAGGCTTCATGCTTTTAACTAGTTCAAGATTACTAATTTAAGTAGAAATACAATAATTTTTACCTTATTTCTGGAGTTTACTCTTTTATATAAGTATTTGGGACCTTGACTAATACAATAAACAAGTTTTAACCCTCAGTATACCAGAAAAAGTAGTCATTGACATTTACCACTTGGGTCTAAAAGACCCTTAATTTTTTAACCATCTAGTGAATTTTTTCTTTTCTACCTCACCTTTTTCCTTCCAGTCACCTTTTATACATACATACCTTCAGTATTTGTCCATTAACAAACTGTACATAAAGTAAAATTTGGTATGTACACATCATAAAAGGTGGAAGATTACTGTCCCATATTCATTGCACAAAATGGATAAGCCAGTTTCTTGTTACAAAATTCTGATATTCTTCCTCATGATGACTAACTGCATGAGAATACCATACTTTCTTTTTGTCCCTAGACATATAGTGTTCAAAAACAAAACACTAATAAAACTGAAAATACAGTGAAAAAATAAATACAGTGTTCACCTTCTGGCTTGAGTTTTAGAGAATTGATCTAGGATGTCATCATCTGAATGTGGCCTGAGGTTTCGCTCTCATGATCAATTTTATCACCATCATTAAAGTCTTGAGTGCTGTTGTCCAAGTCTTGGTATTCACCTCTGATTCCACTAATGCTGTGAAATCTCTTCCTTTGTCAATTTTCCTCTCTTTGTCTTTAGATGCAGGAATGAAAAATTTTGAATTCTCCATTCTATTCAGTGGAAGTTAAAAGCAAACTACAAAGATCATGCCTCTAATCTTTTATATCTTTCAGAAAGACATACAGTATTTTGGGGGATGCAATAAGAAATATGAAAGGTGACGTGATAGTGATAATTGATTTCCCTAATTAATCATTCTTCTAGGTCTACACTGTTCAATGCAGTAGCCATTGTTCTCATATAGCTATTTAAATTTAAATTAATTAAAATTCAAAAATGAAAATTTAATTCCTTTCACTAGCCACATATCAAATTCTCTATGGCCACAGGATAGAATCGTTCCATTATCACTGAACAGAAGTATAGTTCTAAGACATTCCATCATTCTTCCATTTTTCTATTACTTTAGCATTTTTTAAAGCATATTTGGGAATAATTGATGCATCAGTTGATAGGTAATTATTCTAGGATGGTTAAATAACAAAT